GCTCTATTCCTTTTTCTTCATTTTTTTTCTGATTTTTTTGCGTGGTCGACATTGTGTAGTTGCTATGCATGGAAGTTGATGAATGCTATGGACTGAACATTGTGACCATACACTATTGATTGCATAGCCGTATTTCCTTGCAATGGAGTTCGCTTGCTAGGTATTTGTGAAAATGCTAGTATGGAATTTTCTTCTATTTTCTTGTACTTTGTAGATGTGAATGGTGATGTTCTAGATTGTAGCATGGTAGATATTTAAATTGTGCTTCATACCGGATAGAATTTTGCTTGCTTGAAGTACTGGTCGACATGGTGGTTTGGGATGATGTACATGTGAAGAAATTCGTTGATATTTGCAAATTAGAGGTTACTGATGGGAACAGGCCCTTAGGTTATTTCAATAGGAAAGTCTGGAAAAATATTTCTGGTAGGATAGCTGATTCTTGTTGTGCAAGAGGACGATAGGTTAGCTATGTTGACGGAGAACATAATCATGTGAACCATGTATTTTGTGTGGTCTTGTAATAATATATGGCATAAGTTTCTATTTGTATTAGCTATACATATGCAATATTAAAAAGAAGTTCAAAAAACTTGTCGATATTGTCATTTTTTTCCCTTTCAATATGACCATTGAAATGTGAATCAGTGTACATATTGTTGCTTTACGGTCAATTAACATACAAACAGTCTTTCAGCGTCCAGGGGCATTACAGCCAACTCCTACCAAATCTATAGTTTCACAGTTGTCTCAACCAAACAACTTTCAACTGTCCCATAGTTCTGAGCACACATCAGCCTTCTCACAGCTCACAGCAGGTTTTTCAGAATCTACAGTCAACCAAACAGACCCTAAGAGGGATAGAAGAGAGAACATAGAACACAGAGAAGCAATGTTCCTGGAGGAGGATATTTCCATCTTTTCGTGTACCGGTTTACGCTCCAATAAATTTATCTTGCGTTTGCCGCCATATAGGGTGATTTCGCAATTGACTGTCAAAAGGATGGGCAATGTGAAGACATAATAAGGATTTAATAATGCCGTTGATACAGTTTTCATGCTTTTGACTTGCAGGAGTTTGTCTGACTTCTCCAATCAGAGCATTGCAGAGGGAAAATAGTAATGGAGTTGATAAATGCTAACCCTGTGATTCATGAGAAAAGGGAGAGGCGCATCCGGCAGGCACCAGAAAACATAGATGAAAATGCACCAGAGGCCATAGACCAGCTTGAAATATTTGATATCCTCTATTGTTTTTCCTTTATATATGGATCTAGTAGCTTGCTTTCTTGCTATACTTTATTGTCTGGTACCGTGTTAGCATAATTACCTTGTACTCCTTAACATTCTTACATCATATTAGAGACATAAAGGACCCAGAACATCCATACTCATTGGAAGACCTTAATGTGGTAAATGAAGACTCAGTCGAAATCAATGATGAACTTAGTCATGTCAGGTAAGTTGGCATCTGTCTATTGGAACTTTGGCTGCTACAATTCAGGAATCATAATGAAATTAAATCGTGAGGATTCCTGGTCGCTTTGGTTTCAGGGTTACTTTCACCCCAACAGTGGAGCATTGCAGTATGGCCACTATCATTGGCCTTTGCTTACGTGTGAAGCTCATGCGGAGTCTTCCACCTCGTTACAAGGTATGCTGTTGGTGTGCGGTAAAAAGGAACTCCTGCTATTATAGTTCCACAACTAATCGTAAACTGCTTAAAAGAGAAAAGAAGAGAAGAAAGTAACAATCAGTTCAATTGTGAACTGCTTAAAAAGAAAAGAAGAGAAGAAAATAACGAGCTGCCTTAATATGTTGCTGAAGCCATGGTATTTTAATTAACATGTCAGTGTATTTATTATAATTTAGGAAGTCTTAAAACACTGAGCTAGATGAGCCATCTGTGTCAGACCACTTAGGGCCAGTTCTTTTGGGGCTTATGGCTGGCTGTCTACCCCCTCCCCAGCTTATTCTAGAACCTAATTTTTTTTCTAGAAACCCAACCTAAAGTTTTATTTTGGGGCAGCTTATTTCCACAGCCATACATAAGCCCGAAAAGAACTGGCCCTTAACTTGCTACTGCCATTATGGAACAAGTTTTTACTTCAAAATTCAGATACCGCAAACACACTCTGGAGGCACAATAAGTGCAGTTTCTAATTTCAGATACGTGTGGTGTAAATGCATCATTAATGGTTAGAAACAATGGTAATTCATTAACATATATGCCAAGTATTTCATAAGCAAATTTATTGAGGACTAATTAGGTAGGGTGGATTTTGCTCCTGTCAATGACAGTGCGGGGAAATTGATACTTTTCTGCTGCTTATTAGCTATTACTGCCCATAGTTTCTTCAAAACAATCAGACATTGTATTGATTTCTGACCCATGTAGGTGGACATACGGTTGACGCCTGGATCACATGCAACTGAAGCTGCCGGTATGTGTTCTACGATATACATTTTTATACCTTACAGTTACCACACTATTTTGCCCGGAACAATATATCAGTATGTTTTTTCCCCCTTCTTTCCCAGTGAACAAGCAACTGAGTGACAAAGAACGCGTCGCGGCCGCGCTGGAGAATTCAAACCTGCTGGACATAGTGGAGGAGTGCCTGTCACCGACGCTCGGCTGAGACCTGAGTAGGACTGGAAACCAGTGCGTGGATACATTCCCAGACTACAGGAGATTACATATGCTATGCCACTCAGCATATTATTACTTTGATTGATGTTTGAGAAGAATTCTTTAATTAGGTGGCGCAGGACGTGTGCATGAATTCTGAGGCCCTGCGCCTCTCTGAGAACGTTGCTGCCGCTTAAGCTCTCGTATCGTAGTGCCAGTATGTAGGTCGTCGAGTGCTGCTATTTTTTTCTTGGAGGAACTGGGTGCTGCTATGTTTTTGTACGGTGCTGATTGTACATCGAGGGATGTAGTGTGGTGGTCCGTGCTGTAAAATTTTGTCATGTTTACGGAGAAGGGTCTATGTTTATCCTTTTTTTAACCTCATGTTCTATCCTTTTTAGTCATGCTTCAGTTGCTGAATAAAATAAAAGAGCGTCACTGCTTTTTTTTTAGATTCAACCTCGCTGCCTTGTACGTACGTATTATCTAAGTGGCCTCAGCCACGACAATGTCACAAATACAATCCGGTGGAACATAAAACCAAGTAGGAGTATTACATATCTAGCTAGTTTATCGTGGCAGATTTGCGGTTCGTCAGAAAATTCATCCTCTGAGGAGAGAAAGAAAAGAGCACCACTGCTGAGGGAGGTGTGGTGACGCGTGCTGTCTGTCCAGTAACTCTTTTCCTCGGTCATTATTTCACAATCATATTTGCAGAGAATGATTTTCTATTTTTTAGATTTTATAAAGATCTGTGTTGGTTTTTTTGGGGAAATGATTCATGGCCGTCGTATCTGATTTTAGTCACATGATATGACTCAGGGGGCAACGTACTACCTAGTTTAGATTTTGCAATTGAGCCTTTGTTACAATTAAACCTGGCCATGGGCAGCCCGGCCCGGTCGGTCCGACCCGACCCGGGCCGACCGTGTCCATGGGTCGGGCTCGGGCTTAGATTTCAAGCCCAAGGCTGGGCCGGCCCCTGTCATATTCATGAGTTAACGAAGAGGCCCGGCCCAAGGCCCAACAGGCTTTTAGCGCTATGGGCTGGGCTCGGTCTTGATTTTTAGGCTCGACGGCTGGGCTGGGTCGGGCTCGGGCCTGGGTTTTTTGCATCGGGCTTTGGTAGGCCCGGCCCGACAAATGGCCAGGTATAGTTGCAATCTTCCCCACCGCAATAAGTGATGTGGTGCGGGATCTGGATTTGGATCCCCCTGTGAGCAGTCACCTCCCGTGCTCTCCTGAGCTCCTCGTGAAGCCAATGCCTCCATGCGTACTCCGACCTTCGTCGTCGGTAGAACACCGACGAGGCCGCCCATAAACACGTTGAAACATCCATTTTGCATCATGTTTATCTACTGTTATTTATAATATTTTTATACATAATAATGCTTTTTGGAGTAATTCTAATGCATTTTCTCTCATAATTTGCAAGGTACATACAAAGAGGGAGAATTTCGGCAGCTGGAAATCTATACCTGAAAAAGCTACGCCAGGCTACCTATTTTGCACAACTCCAAATGAGCTGAAACTTCAGGAGGAAAATAACTATCGGAGGGGGGCCACCTGGTGAGCACAAGACCCCAGGCGCGCCCTGGTGGGTTGTGTTCAGCCCAGCCCACCTCTGGTGCCCATCTTATGGTATATAAGTCATTTTGACCTAGAAAAATAAGAGAAGGACTTTCGGGACGAAGCGCCGCGTCTCGAGGCGGAACTTGAGCATGAGCAATTTTGCCCTTCGGCTGAGCGATTTCGCTGGGGGAACCTCTCTTCCGGAGGGGGAAATCATCGTCATCATCATCACCAACAACTCTCCCATCTTGGAGAGGGCAATCTCCATCAAATCTTCAACAACACCATATTCTCTCAAACCCTAGTTCATCTCTCGTGTTCAATTTTTATACCGAAACTATAGATTGGTACTTGTGGGTGACTAGTAGTGTTGATTACATCTTGTAGTTGATTACTATATGGTTTATTTGGTGGAAGATTATATCTTCAGATCCAATATGCTATTTAATACCCCTCTGATCTTGAGCATGATTATCATTTGTGAGTAGTTACTTTTGTTCTTGAGGTCACAGGAGAAATCTTGTTGCAAGTAATTATGTGAATTTTATATGTGTTCGATATTTTGATGGTATGTATGTTGTGATTTCCTTAGTGGTATCATGTGAACGTCGACTACATGACACTTCAACATATTTGGGCCTAAGGGAATGTATTGTGGAGTAGTTATTAGATGATGGGTTTGCGAGAGTGACATAAGCTTAAACCCTAATTTATGCGATATTCCGTAAGAGACCGATTGGATCCAAAAGTTTAATGCTATGATTAGAATTTATTCTTAATACTTTTCTCGTAGTTGCGAATGCTTGCGAGGGGGTTAATCATAAGTAGGAGGTTTGTTCAAGTAAGAACAACACCTAAGCACTGATCCACCCACATATCAAATTATTAAAGTAGCGGACACAAATCAAACCAACATGATGAAAGTCACTAGATGAAATTCACGTGTATCCTCAAGAACACTTTGCTTATCATAAAAGGCCGTTTTGACGTGTCCTTTGCCTCAAAAGGATTGGCCTACCTTGCTACACTTTTGTTACTATTATCGTTACTAGCTCCTTACAAATTATCTTGCTATCAAACTACTCGTTACTTATAATTTCAGTGTTTGTAGAGAATATCTTGCTGAAAACAACTTGTCATTTTCTTCTGCTCCTTGTTAGGTTCGACACTCTTACTTATCGAAAGGACTACGATTGATCCCCTATACTTGTGGGCCATCACACGTCGACGAGGTCTTCTTTCCCTGTTTTTCTGTGTCCACAACCAGTGCCCATGGCCGCTCGAGCGCGCACGCCAGAGCTCCGCTTCGGGCCGTCGCCCAACTATGACGTTTGGCCCCCATGTTGCATCGCCTACACCATCACCTTCATCGCATACGCAAACACCCCTTCTCCCTTCCTCAACCAGAGAAGCTCCGGCGCGAGGCCATGACCTCAAGCAATGCCACTTTCTGCAACAACAAGACATTTGTTGCCAAAATTTTTTTATAACAAGAGTTCGGTTGCAAAAAAAATATCTTAAAAGTACTCTACAACAAGAGCTCGGTTGAAAAAAATCTAAAAAATATTCCACAACAAGGCCTCTGCAACACAATCTTTGTTAGTACAAAATTTTCTACAACGAGATATGTGTTGCAAAAAGGGTTCTCACAACACGGCTTCTGTCGCAAAAGTACGGCGACGCTTGACCGGGAGTTGTGTCAGATCGGACAGCTCGTAGACGGGCGGCGGCCGGCACGTAGCACGACCATTTTGTTTGAGCGGTAGATCTTTGTGTTTTTTTTTGCTTTTAGTGGTAGATCTTTGTGTTGGTCTTCATCCTTTTTTGTCATGCTGCTTCCGTTGAAGGAAGCTTCACTGCTAGCCCAGTCGTGAGCCCACGCGTGGCCCATGCCTAAAAACCAGACTTGTGTGGCGTACAAAGTTACGAACAATCCCGCACGCTCACGGCAGCCGCCCCCGCCCGCTTGGTTTCGCTTGGAGTGGAGGAAAAGGGAAGGAAGAGCTGCGCACTCCGCTCCAGATAGAAAAAGATCAGCGCCGTGCTCTCCATCTCCAGTCTCCTCTCCACTGCCCCGCCCCGTCTCGGTCTCACTCCGCTGCAACCTGCCAACAAAATCTCCGGAGCCCAAACAGCGGACGGAATCCCTCTTCCCTCCCCTTCGTCGCCCGCCCCTCTCCGCGCGCGCCACCATGTCGGCGTGGGCCGACGCGGCGCTGCTCCTCGCCTCCCCGTCCCCCTCATGCTCCCCCCTCGCCAGGCCGCGCTACGGGCGCCTCCGCAAGGTACGCCTCCTCCTCGCCCGCCTCCCGACGGCGCCCCCGTCGCCCGTTTCCTATTCCCAGGCACTCAAGTGGGATCCAACTCGTGGTTGCCGGATGGCCTGATGCTCGACCGGTTGTCCCTGCACCTCTGCGTGCATTTGCCTTGCTTCTGTGAACTGTAACCGCGCATCTGAGCAGCGCCGCGCCGCGCCGAGGTTTGTGTGCTGTCGGAAGTGTGTGGCGTCCGGTTTCAGGGCGCGTAACGACTTGCCTCACGCGCTTGCTCATGCACAATAGCTGTGGCGTTTAGCTGTCGGCGTGTTTGGGCAAGCATGCGTGTTAGTTTAGTTAATCTTCATCTTGAATTCAGACTTTATCCAGCGGAAATGGCACCAGTACGTGGTGAAACCCTGAACAAGAAGCATGCCTGAATTTTGCTTTTGTTCTTGAAAAAGCTCACGGAATTGTTATGTGCTCCCTCCGTTCACAAACATAAGTTAGTTTGGATATTTCAATTTGGACTACATACGGACCGAAAAGAGTGAACAAACACACTAAAACATGCTTATATACATCCGATTTAGGAAAAGGTTAGAACATCTTATATTTATGAACGGAGGCAGTAGCCGCCTGCCTAGAGTGCCATAGCATTCGATATGATGTATTGCATTTTTTTAAACAGTTTTGCTGAAGCACATCTAGATGTGCCATAAGTATTGCACATCTAAGTCATATGTCATTGATCTTACATTGAGATTCGTGTGAATATATTTTTTCCTTTTTTTCTTTTTCTCTTTATGCTTGATTCACTCACTTAGATGTGCAATAACTAGAGCACATCTAGATGTGCCCTAGTTTTTTAAATTGTTCATGATGCCTATGAACGTAACATTAACTCTTTTCATTTATTTATTTACAAGAGTTTCTATCATTTCACATTATCTATACTCTATGCACCTGGTTTCGACAAGTATTCTGATGCTCCTGTTATGCTCAACTGCTCACTTCTGATACTTTTGCTAAGGGTTGATTGTGCCCAACACTTAAGTGATCTGAAATTTTTATTTCGCGTTGCGTGGTGACTGATGATTATCGAATTTTGTCTTATCTCTTGCTCAAACTGTTCTGCTCAACTCGTGTATTTTCAGTTAATATCTTTATTTTACCCGTGCTG